GTATAGGAGGGAAGATAAATATATATATACATTTCTTTTTACTTGATTTTAATAGTTGCAAACACGTTTATTCCGATTTTCTGATAGTGTTTTTTATTATTTGAATCCTCGTAGGTATTGCCCAAAGAAATAAGGTTTATTCAAGGGTTTACACATCTTCATAGCTAAAATACGTTGATACTTATATCACGAACAGATATCTATGACAAACATTTCTTAAATTGTCAGTATATGAATTTAGATTTTTTTAAGAAACGTAGGTTTCAGCTACAGCAGACTAAATTTGCCTTTGATGGATTGAAGGCTTATGTAAAAATAAGAAAATGTGGTATACTGATTGCTAGTGAGTCAACTATTCAAGAAAGTTCAAATCAAGAGGAATGTTAGCAGTTATATCTATACGACCTTCAATAATGAAAAAAATAGGGAAACTGTAAAGGGTTATTAAAGGCCCCGCCCCGACATGAAAAAATATGAAACAATTCAATTGAGCAAACTAACGGCCTACTTTATTTCAAAGCTTTCTTGCCACAAAAAACCCCCAAATACATGTATATAACTGAGTTGATGTTACGAAAACCACTGAACTACGTGCTTTTGACTTTGGACAGACACATAAATACACAGAATGTTGTGAATGTGTATAGGTCCTTTATTGGTCATATAGCTGTACACTCCTATCTATTTTATACATTCTTTGGCTTTCAAATATTTAGCATTGAGCGTTCCTAGTGAAAGTAAATCCAGAAAAGTGTTACGGATGCATGAAATTAATAAAGTGTTGTTTTGTGAGGGGATCAAAACGTAGGGATCGATGTTAATGTCTGTTTTATATTTAACTGGTCCGCCGTTCTATCTATAGCTTCGCACCGATAAGTGAACACAACAGGGGTCCAGTTTAGTTTTATATGTGCAGTAATATCGGCCTTCTAACTTTAGTGAAAATCTGCTAGTTGTTTCATGTATTTGATATGCAAATTATCACAAAACTAAAAGGATAAGATGGATGAATTAATAGTTGATCTTTAACGTCCAGTGGCATATATTATAGATTGATTTTTAGGGGGAATACAATAATTATGATATGATTATGAACATTGACAATCATACCACAACTAAATTTTTATAAGAACGTACATGTGTAGATTTTCGTCTTTTACTGTAAACGACAGTGTCCCCGGGAGTCAACGCCGAAATCAAACTTGTGTAAATTTCTGAAACATACATTTCATTATTTAACCCAATGTAAAGCAAAACAAATAATACCGTTTTGAGCTTTAAAACCAAGGCAACCCTTTATACTAGTCAAAAGTTGCTGGATCTTGATAGATGCATACGAAACTTCAATTAATTGTTTGTAGTTTTCAATCTTTTATATCCGATAAAAAATGAACAAAAAATCTATCGGATAAAAACTACCAATTTTTCTATGAGACAAAATTTATCCTTATTGGAGTCGAATTTGTCATATGGATTCATATAGGACAAAAAATGTCCTCAGTAACGGAACAAAAAATACCCCCATGGTTAAAAAAAAAATCCGTCATTCTTTAATAATCCTACATGTAGAAGGTTAACAAAGTACTATTGTGAATAATTTTTTCGGATATTAATCATTTAGACATACATTTACCCGACAATCTTGTATATTGGTTTTTCTCAGTGAAATAAACTAACGTGCATGTGACCATCAGAAACAAAGACAAAAATGATATTTGTAATGGTATTTATCAAAACTTAAATGTTTGAATATATCTTAGTAGAATATGAATTTGCTAAATAAGCGAAGAATTATAATCTAGCCTAGTTCAATATTGGAGAAATGACTCAAGTTGAACGCTAATTCAATACTGATTCAATATTTTATTATATAGTCTCACCACATACAAACATAAAATGAGAATCACAGAAATAAACATAAAACATTAAAACATTTGCATTGTATGTACCAATCTTAAAAAGAATAATGAGAGACATTTAAGACACAATATATTTACTCATTTACATTTAAAATTTACAGTGTCCACCTGTACTATATGAAAATAAAACTTTTTTTTTCTTTGAGAACTGGGAAATAAAATGCCGTTTCTTTTCAATAAAATATTGTTGATGTTTTTGGCAACTATAGCAGCAACATTGCCGATATTAAATACTAAATATAAATTTTTCGCTATCTGATAATTAAAGGTTAAAATGTTCATTAAAATGTTTAGCTTAATGTATCATAATTTGTCTTAAATCTACATATAATTGGCATTTTAAAATGACACGAAGTTCATCTTCAATAGTAGAGCTACAACACATGTCATCTCGTGGACTTTTTTTCTTGCATACTTTCCAGTTTCTATTTTTAGTGGAGCTACCCCACATCTAAATTTTGCAAAAGCACTTTTGTTTTTAATTGACAGAATATTTTAAACAAATAACAGTTGGCCAACAGTATATTGTTAAGCCCATTTCCCTCAGTTGAATAGAAATTCCAATTTTAACTGTTCTGTCGTAGAAATGTCATCATGTTATTGTTTGTACGTAGAACATGTATCATTATATTAAAATGTGTCAGTCCCAGCCAAGATCCACTGATTAACCACGAAATGTTTACAGATGATAAATAAATTTTACACAAAAAGTCATGAATCTGTAAGAACGTTCTGTACGTTGAAGTTAATTAAGTGTTCACAAGAAAGTAAGTATGAATGTAAATTTTATTTTAAGTCGGAACATATATATACACTTTAACCGTGAGATGAAATATAAGCTTTGATGAGCTCTATAACCGACTATAATATAAAAACCGCAATGAATGAACGTTACATGATAAGAGATGAACGTTTGACAAATGCACGTTATCTGATGTACACAGTTATACACGATTGACGAACGCACGACACACGGTTAAGAATGAATGATTGATGAACCATGTGAACGCACGATACACGGTTAAGAATGAATGATTGATGAGCGCACGATACACGATTAAGAATAAACGATGCATGCACATTACACGGACAATACACGGAACGATGAATGATGAGCGCACGATTGGTACACGCACGATACACGATGAACACATGGAATAATGGTCAGTTTGAAATTTAGAAGGTCTGTATATGTATATATATCCAGATTTTGAACTTTATGAACTCTATGTATCCAGATGTTGGACTTGCCGAATTTTATTAACTATATATGTGGTGATTGTAACCGAAAAAATAACAAGGAACTACAGAATTTATAATAGCGTAAAGGAAGAAGGACTATCGTATGTTACCGAACTTTCGTTCTTATTGCGTTGGAAGGCATTATGTAACACAAGGTCATGAAGGTGTGAAATAACAATAATTACCAAGGTGTATTCAAATATAAATTAACTGATACGAGTACATGTATCCTGAAGACACTGAATAACAATGTGCACGAATATTAATGACAATGTCCACGGCTTAATCAACATGTATCCTGCAGATGTTAATTGCATTGTCCGACGATTAACCTCATACAAGTATTATTCAATAGCAAGTCTACTCCTCAAACTGCCAACAGTTATGGACCATTGTTTAGAGATGATTAATGGCCCGCTTCGGACTAGTAGGACACTATTCGATTACACCAGAATTCGTCACATCTCGGCCAGTGTCACAGTGAAGTTGAACTTTCAAACTATCTTTGGAAACTTTGTAATTACGTAATAAATTCTAGTTACTTAGTTTTGTCCTAGACTTCTTTACATGAAAAAGTGCAATATCCCTGCGATTTCGTTCTTGATGTTTCAACAAAATATCGAATCCTGTCAGTTGTTGATTTAATATTGATAATTTAACTGAATTGTCCCTTATACGGATATTGTTTATTTCGTCTTTTTTTTTGAAAGAGGTCAATTTGCTCTAGATCTTGTTCATTCATGAAATTATCATTCGTTCATAAATATCGTAAAATCACTACCCATGCACGTTATAGTAATGTAATCTAATCTCACATTATTTGGTTTAAAAGTAGCACAATTTGCACGTTCTGATTACACTTACCAATTCCTGTATGAAATATTCCACACAGAATGTACACGGAATATAATAGGAATATTGCATTGAATTCCTACCAAAAAAAGAGTGATATTCCAGTCAGACAATAGTAGGAATCCACACAAAAAATAGCAGAAAAATTTAAATTAGCAGGAATTTCTTAATAGAAATATTGTATATTCCTACAAGGAATATTCAAATTAGCAGGAATAATTTGGCAGGAAATTAAAATTTCTAATAGAAAACCTGTTCTAGAGTTATGCCCCTTTACAAATGGAAAAATTGCTGAATTTTTTGTTTCCGTCATCTAACTTAAGTTTACCACAACTAAATGTTATGAAACATATACACAATGCTCATTTCCACAAAACTCTGATCAAGTACAAATTTGGGTAGCGTCACTTTTACAGTTCTTGAGTTATGTCCCATTATAACCCTATAAATTGTATGCAAACGGGGGCATCATCTGTGTCCCATGGACATATTCCCCATTTATCATTATTTTATAACATATAGTTTGAAAAACCATTTTTGAAAATCTTATAAAATCCTGGTTATTTTTTCATAGTTTTTGAAGAAAAAAGGTGCCAATGTTAAATGCATTAAAAATCTATGGAGAATCATTTCCCGCCATTTTTTCAATTCATTGCTTATATCTGGAAAACAAGAGCACACGGTCTCTTCAATTTTTTCTGCTTTTTAGTTCCTTTATTTATATACTTTCAATTTATAACAGTCTTTTAAAAAGCTTGTTATTTTGAAACAGAGTAGCTAGCAATCTTCCTTAACAGTCTTATACAGGCTTTGATTTACCCTGTGTTATTGCAATATCATTTATTTTGACAAATTACCTTTTTAATTTTTTCACTCTAATCATCCTTCAATATTAAATTTAATCTTTCGATTATTCTAATGTGATGTTCTCTAAAATTAATTATTAATAAAAATTTTAACACTTTACAAACATTTGTTCATTTACAGCAAATTCTGAAGAGAAGGCGATAATTGAGAAGGCTATAGAAGAATTGGCAAAGAAGACATGTATACAGCTAGTTCCTAAAGGCAGCGTTAAAACACAGGATATCGGTCACAAATCTTTCTTAGAATTTGTTCCTAAAACGTAATAAACTACAGCTCGTATATATGCATTTTGCTATTGCGATGGCATTAAGTTTTACTCTTGTCCGTCTACATATGTGCGAAACGTAGGTCACAAAATTGGTTTCCGTTCTCTAACTTTAGTTTGCCTCAAACAAATGTTATAAAACTTATAAACAATGCTAACTGCCACAAAACACAGATCAAGTTTGAATTTTGGTGGTGTCACTTTTACCGTTCTATAGTTATGCCCCTTCACAAATGAAAAAATTGCTGAATTTTTATTTTTGTTCTCTAACTTAAGTTTGCCTTAACCAAATGTTATGAAACTTATACACAATGGTTATTACCACATAACACAGATTAAGTTGGAATTTTGATAATATCAATTTTACCGTTTTAGAGTTATGCCACTTTACCAAATATTTACAAATGGAAAAATTGCTGAATTTGTTGTTTCTGTTCTCTAAGTTAAGTTTGCCTCAACCAAATGTTATGAAACTTATACACAATGCTTATAACCACAAAACTCAAATCCAATAAAAATTTGGGTAGCGTCACTTTTACTGTTCTTGATTTATGTTCCTTTATAACGTTTTATGCAAGCAGGGAGATCATCTGTGTCCCATGGACACATTCCCCATTTATTTTACATAAAATGACAATCTTTGCATATTTTAACACATATTTGTTTGTTTGAAATATTAAGCAAATGCAAGTTCAAGTAGAATATTTTCGTTAAAAGTGTTGTTTTATATAGACAAACATTGTGGTAAATTATTTAGTTAGTTCTTGCATATGTTGTAATTTTATGGCGGGTTAAAATTCAATTTTTCCAAGAAAATACTGTACCGGTTAGTAGGGCCTTTAAAGTGAGTGCATTTATTGTGACTTCCCATGTAAAAACAAAATTTGGGTTTTGATTTTGCTTTACCGCACTGTCAGAAATTTATAATGAAATGCTCAACTTATTATTTCTGTATAAAATTAGGCCAATATTTATTATAGGATTAAACGCCTTGTTAAAGGAATTTATTGGTGTATAAACTCGACCTATTCACTCACAAACAAATAAAAGTCCGAAGGACTTTTATGATATGTTTGTGAGTGACTTGGTCCAGTTTATACACCAATAAATTCATTTAAAAAGGCGTTTAATCCTTATAATTCTTTAAAATTGGAGATAAGGAATTTATTTTTCTACACTCGTAATTTCTTTCACACATAAATTGTATATTTGTGTCATTGAATTAGCCTCGCGCACGAATATATTTATTGGTTAATGCAAAAATATGTAGTCTGTGAAATTTACTATCTGATAAAATATAAACTACAAAAACTCTTATTATCATTCAAATGAATACTTTGTGTTTATAATTTAATTTAAAGATTAACGCGAAGTGAAAATAAATGTGGTCAACGTCGAGCCGGATTGTGTTATTATCGCCGCCATCTTGTTTACATTGGTTACGAAAAGAAGTTCGGTCAACGTCGTCTATCGAAAAATAAACAACGTCAAGAACAACTTCTGGAAGTTCTCTCGACCAATCATATCAACGTATTCCCCAAAATGCAAATCATATAAGAATTATATATAATTATACAATTTTTTCTAGCTCATGTTCATCCTGGGTCGGAAGACATAAATCTGGTAAACAAGAGCTGACCTTACAAAATCCAGGCTGTCTGCATGTAAGTTTAAATTCATTGCAGTTTTTATAGAAGAGGAATGAAAGATACCAGAGGGACATTCAAACTCGTTAATCGAAAATAAACTGACAACACCACGGCTTAAAAAGAAAAAGACAACAGACAAAACAATAGTGCAAAAACACAACATAGAAAAATACAGACTATTAGCAACACGAACCCCACCAACAACTGGAGGTGATCTCAGGTGCTCTGGAAGGGTAAGCAGATTCTGCTCCACATGTGACACCTGTTGTATTGCTGAGACATGTTAGTACAAACCCGTTAATTAGTCTAATTCCAAAGGTCACATTCTTGAAAACAGTGGGATATCCAGTGAACGAAAACAAAAGAAAATTCACTCTTCTTATGATAGTCGAGAAACAATACCGATGACGATACTGCTTAAAAGTTATTTCTAAATAATAATTGTACATTTAAGAGAAATTATTTATTTAACTCTGTTATTAGAAATATACGTGCAAACACACGATGTTTGATGTTCAGTATTTATCAAGATAATTGCTTTAGAAGCTTGCGAAAATTCAATATTAAAAACTGCAAATCTTAGCTGCATATATATAAAAAAAATAGGAAAAAATGTTTTTTTTCAAAATCGAAAGATCTTTCAAGTCACCAATTTTCTGAGTGTTCAAACAGTCCTTAGTATGTTACAATTTTCCAAAGTATGCTTATTTTTTCACACCTAAGTTATCGAGCACACCGGTCTGCTCTTGTCCCATGTATATTTAATAGAGAACAATTGTTTTTTGTGAATATAAACATTTAAAAGACTACATGTCTGTACAGGTTAAAAAATTAAATATAACTTTTTTTGTAAAGTGGGTATCTTTATACTATTTTGTATACAAATTTTAGAAAGGTCAGCTCAAGTTTTGTACACATATTTGCGGTCTTCTTGATCTATTCACATTCAATGTTTACATCAAGATAAGGTCTGTTTAATTTTGCTTAGTAACTTAATATAAAAAGTGCCAATCTTTACTGCATATCAATCCATTGCTTTGGAATTTTTTTCCTGACTTTCTCTGATCTAGCTGTATATATATATATACGAAATAATAAGCTTGTTCCAGAGAAATATACAGACAGTAAACAAATAAATTGAAGTTGGTACTCTAGGAATTTAATCGCATTGCAACATTTTATCCAATTTTACTCCAAGCATCTATAGCCTGCTGTACTCATCATTGGCTACTAGTAAGGAGGAAAATGATAACATTGAGTGGAAGTTTTGTTTTTATTTCAATTTATATCAATGTTTACTATTTACCAGAACCTTTTTCCGTGAATCCATAAATGATTGTGTCCTTGCTAATATGGGACAAACATTGAGAAGATCTAGTTTTCAGTGTTTACAGGGGAGGTAATATTTTGTCACTAGATTTCCCTTTGAAAAGGGAACAGGATTGTTGTTACGACATAAGTAACATATCCGCTATATGTGGGTTTTTGTTTTGTCATGTTTTCACCACTGCCTGATTTTTTGGCAAATTGGCACTTAAAACATACTGGGGATTCATTCATTTTGGTGGATATTTTAATTTGTGGTTTTGCCTAAGTTTGGATATCTTTATTTTATGTCACTAGATCTAAGGTCAAGGTCATAAATACAATATTGCCGTCCAAAATCATTATAATTAAAAATAATCGGTTCTCAAAGTAAACAATAAAAAATTACGCCATCAAATGAATATAAGCCTTTTGCCCTTTTTGTATTGGGTGGGGATGGAAGGGGGAGGAGGAGATGTGATTGTGCTCACTAAAGCTTCTTTTTATTTAAATTGCAATAAAATGCATGAATCTTATTTTTTTATACAGCATACCATAGTTCTACATGAATTTTTGCATGCTATAGAGGGGTGGGGTGGGTGGGGGGGAAGAGATGTGAGCGTGATCACTAACTGTTCTTTTGATTTAAATTGCAATAAAATGCATGAATCTTATTTTTTTTTTTTATACAGCATTCCATAGTTCTACATGAAATCTTGCATGCTATAGGGATGGAACATGAACAGAGCCGGTCAGATAGAGATAAACACATCAAAATTTTTAAGAAAAATATTGAATCCGATGGGCATGACCAATTTGTTAAAGAACATACCTCAGATACTCGGCCTTACGATGCTGAATCAATTATGCAATATAACCTGTATGTAAGTACTTCTATACTACTAAAGGAAAAGAAAATTTCAGGGACTGATTTTTTGGCTCTCCCTTGACACCATTTGCGAGTATGGTTCGTCGGAAGGGGACGATAAATGGCTGACCCGTGTTAAGAGAGAGCAATATCTCTTGCACGTAAAAGACACCCTTGTAGATTTCGAAAAAGAGTAGGCTAATGCAGCTACAAGGCAGCACTCGCACCCGCAAAGTGGAAAGGGATTGATATAAGTTGTAATAAATTGTTTCCCAATCCACTATAAATAAATATGTTTAAACTAAAGGAAGAGACCGATTTCATTGAGCCGCAACTCTTCTGAAATATTTGTGATATGACTTAATATAAATGTAGTGTTTTGTACTTCATAAATTTTACTTTGAAACAATCTTTTCCACAGAAAACACCAATTTTAGAGAAAATTTCCAAATTCGAAGACCATTATCAATCCGTGTCGTATACACTTTCACGCATGCTCAGTCGATGTACTGCCTGCGAAATGCAAAACTGTGTTTCAACATTTTCCCAATTGTACAGCTACTTAGAGGGCATCTTCTAGTATATCAAAGTAGAAGGTCAAACACCAGACAAATATGGATAAGCTAGCTGCCTATGCTGTAATATAATACTATAAGAAACCTCATAATGATGAGCAGGTGAATTGAATAACAGTTACTGTAAATTTAGAAATTATTCTGCGCATTTATTATTGCATTAATATTATTTCGATTTTTGATGACTGAACAAAAATGTGAATATACTTATTGCGATTTCAGGAAAAGCTTTATACAAACTTATGTATCAAATATCATAATGAGAGTTCTTGTTTTTACAATACATCCCGAGTTGTCTGTTCTGTCTGTCTGTTATGTCTGTCCTGTGTATGTGCTGTCTGTCCTGTCTCTGTCCTGTCTCTGTCTGTTCTGTTTCTGTCTGTCTGTCTGTCTGTTCTGTCTGTCTGTCTGTTGAGTGTCTGTCTGTCACCCTGTCTCTCTCTATCTGTCTCTGTTTGTCACTGTCTGTCTGTCTGTCACTGTTCTGTGTCTGTCTGTCTGTCTGTCTGTCTGTTGGCCTGTCTCTGTTCGTTTCTGCCAGCCTGTATCTGTCTGTTTATCTGTCACAATGAACATCAAATCAATTAAAAACTTGAAAAAAATCCAAACTAGATTATTAACTTCTTTGATTCCCTGTATTTCAATCACTTGCATATGTCATGGTGGCATACTTGCCTTTATGTGACACATACTCAAACATCAGTAGGATGTAGGGAGGAGGACTTTATAAGTCTGGCTAAGCAAACAGTTTAAGTCTTGCTATATTTTTTAGTCATTTGGGAAAAAAACTGGAGGTACAGTATCCAAAACTATGGAGCTTGTTGAGAAAAAACTTGAATTTCTAGCTGACCTAGAGGCTGGACTGGATTTCTATGATGTGGCTGATATCACTGATGCATATCAATGTGCAGGTATAAGATAAGATAAGATAATTTTATTAACCAATCAAGGTGCCCAAAATTTTAGCTATACAATCAAATGAATTTTAAAATAAAGCACAGTAAATGATTAGAATGATTAAAGTACATTTAAAATAAAAACATGAATACACATTCAAACAAAGTAAATATAATTATACACCATGTTATTGACAAAAAATAACGTTATTTTGGAAGCCACTATGACCTGGAGAAATTACAGAATTTTGTAGTCCTAGGTCTAATGGGAGACAACTCCTGATAACTTTTGTTATATTTTTTTTTTATTTCTATTTTTTTCAAACTTCATTGATATTTTCTAAGAGTTAATCTTTTGTTCTTCAAAGGTATATTTCATATTAAGTAGGTATAGACATGAGTAAAAGATTATTACGTTTTATATCAGTAGTATGTTTGCATTAGTATGTCCTATCAATGCTTTTTCAAGCTTTCATTTGAAACAAGTTGGATAATTTGTTTTAGTCTGATAAGCACAGAATATTTTATTTGAAAATGCTTGACCCAAACATTTGAGATGTTTTAGAGTTGTGGCCCTTAACCATGTTCACCTAGATTTGCCTCTTTAAACATAATTTGGAATACAAATTTAAACCTGATGGAGATCTATAGTTATAACATGAAAAAGGACTTGTTTTTCGTTATCTTGGAATTAAAAAAGTTATTCCATATGACAATGGTCGATTGTTAAGTTGCTGACTTTTTATCAGTTTTAGAACTTTTCAAAGGGAAAAAACTTGGCAAAAGGACAATATTAATGTTACAATGTTTTTCAATTTTTTTTTTCTATGGCCCTGCGGCAGAAGAGGGGGCATTAAGTGTTGCCCTTGTTTGTCCTTCCGTACGTCCCAAAATTAGTTTCTATTCTCTAACTTTAGTTTGCATCAAGGGAATGTTATGAAACTTGTACACAGTGCTGATTACCGCAAATCACAGATCAAGTTTGAAATTTGGGTTGTGTCACTTTTGTCGTTCTTGAGTTACGTCCCTTTATAACGTTATATGCAAGAGGTGGCATCATTTTTGTCACATGGACACATTCTCCATTTATTTTTTAAATGATTTCCTATGAAAAATCTATATGTTTTACATTTATACAGAATTTGAATAGTTATGGAATTTTTTTGTGAACATATTAAATATGCATAAGATGACTTTAAGATCATAGAATTTTTTTCTTCTTAAAAAATAAACAGTTAATTAACTTTACTGCACCAGATGTGCATTTCAACAATCAATGTCTCTTCAGTGATGCTTGATGCCAAAATATTTGAAAATAGTAAACAAACATTGAATAGCCAATAAAACCAAATAGGACAAAAAATTGAGCCAAACCCGACAAGGATTCAAAATACTTTAAGCTGATTGGTTAAGCAGTATCCTCTAAAGAAATTTAGAATAACTGAAAATTCCAAATTATATATAGTTAACATGTCAAAAGCAACAAAATTTAATAATTTATTTCATAAGTTAACTTTTACCCCCAAAATAAATGCCAAAAAACCTTATCCTTAAAAGGGGAGAAAACCTGTATTTTTCATAAATCTTAACAATAATCAGTGAATTAATGTGCTATATTATTAATATACACCTATATACTGCAAATTATTGTTATAGTATTCTTTTATCAAGGTTTTAATGTCACAATAAACTCTGGATCACTTTTGACAAGACTTTTTGTCGATCAAGTCTCAAGAACGAGAACTATTCCATTCAAATCGGTGTGTGATGGTAGGAAGATATTGATATAGCAACTGAACCAACAATTACTTGAATAATTTTCCTTACTTCAAATGGATAAACAACCATATATGACATATAACCTTGTTCCAAAAATTGAATATCCCTTCCTGTCCTCCCTATCCATTGCAATGGAATAACCCAATAATAATATTGGTCTCTGTCATATAAATAATCATAATGCTTATACTCGTTTACATTTCCAGCTCATTGTAAAGGATTGTCCAGACCAAAATGTGAAAACGGTGGATTTGTTGACCACAACTGTAAATGTTTCTGTCCACCTGGTCTAAAGGGAGACAACTGCCAAAAAGTAGAAACATCATCAGGTAAGGGGAGACAACTGCCAAACTAGAAAAATCATCAGGTAAGGGGAGACAACTGCCAAACAATAGGTACAGCATCAGGTATAAAGGGGAGACAATTGCCAAACAAAAGAAACATCATCAGATATAAAGGGGAGACTACTGCCAAACAATATGTACATCATCAGGTAAGGGGAGACAACTGCCAAACAGTAGAAAAATCATCAGGTAAGGGGAGTACACTACTGCCAAACAGTACAAACATCATCAGGTAAGGGGAGACTACTGCCAAACAGTAGAAACATCATCAGGTAATTTAGGGGAGACAACTGCCAAACAATATGTTCACCATTAGGTATAAAGGGGAGACAATTGCCAAATAATATGTACACCACACCATCAGGTATATATGGTGGACAATTGCCAAACAAGATACATCAGGTAAAGGGAGACTATGCCCAAACAAGAAATACTTCATCCAGTAAGGGGAAACAATTATTGATAAAAATCAGATGAACTCTTTAATTAAGATGCACCCCAACCATTTTCTGATGCAGTTACTGTGAAAGCATACTATATTTTCTTATAAAGGAAAAATTATACCATGCTGCATTTTATGCCCCACTTAGGGGCATTATGTTTTTTCGATCTGTGCGTCCGTTCATCCCTCCTTTTGTTCTTCCCTCCCTCCTTTTGTTCGTCCATCCATTCATTTGTTGGTCCGTCCATTCATTTGTTCGTCTCTCCGTCTGTCTCGCTTCAGGTTAAAGTTTTTGGTTAAAGTTTTTGGTCAAGGTAGTTTTTGATGAAGTTGAAGTGTAATCAACTTGAAACTTAGTACACATTTTCCCTATGATATGATCTTTCTAATTTTAATACCAAATTAGAGTTTTTACCCCAATTTCAAGGTCCACTGAACATAGAAAATGATAGTGTGAGTGGGGCATCCCTGTACTATGAACACATTCTTGTTATTTCAAATTTTGTGGCATTGAGCTTTTAATATAGGGGTAGCTTCAAAAAATGTGCAAATACATGTAGTATTATTGATATGGACCTATATTAAAGAGTTCTATTTATTAGAATATTAATGATATCTTGTGGTATACATCAATGAGATAGCAACCCAACAACAAAGTAAGACCACTAGAGGGCAACATAGTCTTCATCAAAAGTACAGGTGTCTAGTGGCAGATTCAGTAGGGGGTTGGCATAGAAGGTGTACACCCCTTTGACAAGAAAATTTATTGTTTTTTAGCATAAAATCGTCCAAAAATTGTTTTGCCCCCGGTCAAAACTCTTTGATCTTCCTCTGGGTGCATGTGTCTAAACAATATAATAAGCTCTTAATGGTCCAGAGTCCTATAAAAGTTGTGAATCAAATTTAACAAAAAAAAAATCATAGATGAGCCATTCAAAAAAAAAACATTAAGATTTGACATACTACAATTACGGACGGGGTTTCTAATTTCGGATGATCATAAGATATGCTGGTTTAAAAGTAATTGATACTGTAAATTAACTTTAATCATCAAATGGTTACCAGGCTGTTAGTTTTCTCATGTTGAATTGTTTTACGTTTGTCATTATAGGGCCTTTTATAGCTGACCATGCAGTATGGGTTTTACTCATTTTTGAAGGCCATATGGTGACCTATAGTTGTATAATTGTTAATTAATATGTCATTTGATCTCTGGTGGAGAGTTGTCTCATTTGCAATCATACCACATCTTATAAGTCCCCTACTGACGAAGTTGAAGGTGACTTTAGGTTTGCACTCCGTCTGTCTGTCTGTCTGTCTGTCTGTCTGTCTGTCCATCCGTCAGTCCGGCAAATCAGTTTACCACTTTTTTTCTGTGCGTCCGTTCATCCCTCCTTTTGTTCTTCCCTCCCTCCTTTTGTTCGTCCATCCATTCATTTGTTGGTCCGTCCATTCATTTGTTCGTCTCTCCGTCTGTCTCGCTTCAGGTTAAAGTTTTTGGTTAAAGTTTTTGGTCAAGGTAGTTTTTGATGAAGTTGAAGTGTAATCAACTTGAAACTTAGTACACATTTTCCCTATGATATGATCTTTCTAATTTTAATACCAAATTAGAGTTTTTACCCCAATTTCAAGGTCCACTGAACATAGAAAATGATAGTGTGAGTGGGGCATCCCTGTACTATGAACACATTCTTGTTATTTCAAATTTTGTGGCATTGAGCTTTTAATATAGGGGTAGCTTCAAAAAATGTGCAAATACATGTAGTATTATTGATATGGACCTATATTAAAGAGTTCTATTTATTAGAATATTAATGATATCTTGTGGTATACATCAATGAGATAGCAACCCAACAACAAAGTAAGACCACTAGAGGGCAACATAGTCTTCATCAAAAGTACAGGTGTCTAGTGGCAGATTCAGTAGGGGGTTGGCATAGAAGGTGTACACCCCTTTGACAAGAAAATTTATTGTTTTTTAGCATAAAATCGTCCAAAAATTGTTTTGCCCCCGGTCAAAACTCTTTGATCTTCCTCTGGGTGCATGTGTCTAAACAATATAATAAGCTCTTAATGGTCCAGAGTCCTATAAAAGTTGTGAATCAAATTTAACAAAAAAAAAATCATAGATGAGCCATTCAAAAAAAAAACATTAAGATTTGACATACTACAATTACGGACGGGGTTTCTAATTTCGGATGATCATAAGATATGCTGGTTTAAAAGTAATTGATACTGTAAATTAACTTTAATCATCAAATGGTTACCAGGCTGTTAGTTTTCTCATGTTGAATTGTTTTACGTTTGTCATTATAGGGCCTTTTATAGCTGACCATGCAGTATGGGTTTTACTCATTTTTGAAGGCCATATGGTGACCTATAGTTGTATAATTGTTAATTAATATGTCATTTGATCTCTGGTGGAGAGTTGTCTCATTTGCAATCATACCACATCTTATAAGTCCCCTACTGACGAAGTTGAAGGTGACTTTAGGTTTGCACTCCGTCTGTCTGTCTGTCTGTCTGTCTGTCTGTCTGTCCATCCGTCAGTCCGGCAAATCAGTTTACCACTTTTTTTCTTCATGCTTGAAGATATTGACCTGATGTTTGGTGTATTGTTTTATCATGACAAGTTACAGATTAATTTTGAATTTTGTTCCGGTCTGATGATTTTAGGCAGAGTTATGGTCCTTGGACTTAAAAAATTCACTTAAATAATCAGTTTTCCACACTTTTTTTCATCATGCTTGAATTTTTAACATGTAAGGGACTTTGTATTGCCAGGCAATACTCTCAGAATTCTTATTTTTATATTATTTTAGCGTGTGGAGGCATTGTTGATGTATCAGAGTCAAAGGTCACAGAGATAAGAACACCTAACTGGCCTTCACCCTATCCTGCCGGAACAATGTGTACCTGGTTGATAAAGGTACATAAAGTGAATTTCATACTATATCTATATAATATCATATACCTATTAAGGATATGAAGTTGTCGTCAACCCAACAAAGATAAAATGTACAAGGATATCAATTCAGACAAACAAGAATCATAAGTCGTAGAAAGCCAGAGGACATGATCAGGCCTGAAGAAAAATATAACAGAAAAATGTTAACAAAACAAGACACAGACAAATAAAGATTGAGCAACATATATATGCCATATATAACATTTATTAAAATGAATGAACCGTTTTAGCTTTTCTCTAACTCTGAATGCATATTAATCAGTTTAAACCAGTTTGATAAGCCCCACATTGATTAAATTTGTCACATGTAAATTCCCACCATATTCATTTGCAACATTGCAATAGGAATTTTCTATTGTATCTTTAGAGAAAGATTAATTTTTCTACCTTGAGCTCTTTACCTCATTGATATATCGACTCTTGATAGTTTAATTTTCATATTGTAACTATCTTGATTGGACAAATACCATAGTGACGGGGTAGATTCTGTAGAAATTTACTAAATGTCAAGTCCTGAATTCTGTTGAAAATGACATGTCTGTTCCAGCATCATGATATAGTTAAAAACCCTGACTTCGTGAATTCTAGAAGAAATATCTGGCTGCTCCTGAATTCCCGCGAACATGAATTCCTAAAAAATGTCCTTTGACCCCTTTCTTTAATTATCACTGTGGTGTGGAAGGTAGAGTCGATATTTTTTTCTTTTTTTCGGATTTAGGCTCCAGCTAATATGTTAGTAAAGTTGACAGTAGATAATCTTAATCTGCCATACAACAGTCTTAAAAGATGCTACCATTGGATGGAGATTCGTTACAATCTGATTGGTCAACTTGGAGTGAAGATTTGTGGTAAGATTAAAGGAAAGACCTGGACTACAACACCATATGGGGAATCTAACTTGATGATGCTGAGGTTGGATGCTAAATTTGCAGAGGATAAAGATCCAGGGAAAGGGTTCAGTATCAGCACCACAGCTATTAGCAAAGGTATTGCCACAGCTGATAGAAAAGGTAAGAAGAAAAACTGAGAATTTCTGTAAAACAACTAACTTTCATGAGCAATTTAATGTTAAATTGACTTTCGCGAGTAGAAAAAAAACGCGAAAAATAAATTGTCCCCATTATATAACTCTGGGACTTCTTTCACATAAATACATCAAGAATATTAGAAAACCGTGAAAATAGATCTGCTGAAAATGGCTTTACGCGAAATAAACATTCTGTGAAAATTAAGTTGGTTTACAGTATAGAATTAGTGATTTCAACAATTTCTGCATACAATATGATAATGATCGAGATGTGCCATGATTGCCAATGAGATAACTATTCATCCGAATGATGTGAATCAAAGCAACTATACGTCACCTTAAGGCCTTCATCAATGAGCAAAACCCCTACAATATAGTCTGCTTTAAAACGCCTTAATATTTCAAGGTAGGTCAATCATATTTGGTATGCAGTTGTATAAGCATTGGCATATCTCATTTCCATGAATAAGAGAATATTTGATCCCACCCCCTCAGTCATGGTCTATTGACTTTGAAACTTTTGCCTAGTTTACATGTGTTAGTTTGTGGTTAGATCAGTTTAAGATGAACCACTAATGTTAATTAAGTCAATTAAATTTTTTTGCAAATTTATTGGCAATTGCAAGTCTCATTTCGGTGGAAATTATATAGCCTGCCCCTCATCATGGTTCATTGACCTTGAAACTTTTACATATTTTACAAGTTATTTTTTGTGTTTAGGTTTGTTTAAAGGGAAGGACTTATGACAAGTCAATGGTATTTGGTATGCAGGTGTATTAGCATTGACACATCTTATTTCCATGGAAATTGTTTAGCCATGTACCTTCAGTCATGGTTCATTGACTTTGAATATTTGCATAACTTACATGTTAAAGTATTGGTATTCTAATTTCAACATTTGCATTATCAAAATTACAAAAAGGCGAGACATATCTCTGTGTTAATTTATTTTAGAGAAAAAACTGATCTGTACATTTGAGAATGAGGATGAGGATTGTTTCTTTGAAGATGATGGCAATTGGTTTCTCGGAGAGGTAAAATGTCACGGTTGAAATATCATATCTGACGGGTTTATGTAATTGTTAATATATAGCTCACAGGTAAATATCATGGTTGAGATATATATCGGACAGGTTTATATAATTGTTGAGATAAAGTGCACAGGTAAATATCATGGTTGAGACACTGGTAAAGTTATCAAATTGATCAACATGATTATAAGATAAGATATGGTATGATTGCCAATGAGACAACTATCAGAGTCCAAACGACTTTTCCAAATTTTTGCAACTATAGGTTTTCATACAGCCTTCATAAATAAGCTAAACCCATACCAAATAATCTGCAATAAAAAACTCAAGCATGACAAAATGTAAGAAAATTCAAATAAAAAAAAAACAATAGCCTGATTTATGATTAAACAATTAACAAAAAAAACCCAAATTACCTACAAAACAAATCATAGACAGACAGCAACAAAAACAACTCCGACATTTTAGGCTTGTGACTAGGGACAGTCTATAAAAAGTGACTAGGGACAGACTATAAAAAGTGACTAGGGACAGTCTTATAAAAAGTGACTAGGGACAGTCTTTAAAAAGTGACTAGGGACAGTCTATAAACAGTGAGTAGGGACAGTCTATAAAAAGTGACTAGGGACAGTCTATAAAAAGTGACTAGGGACAGTCTATAAACAGTGACTAGGAACAGTCTATAAAAAGTGACTGTGACTAGGGACAGTCTATAAAAAGTGACTGTGACTAGGGACAGTCTATAAAAAGTGACTAGGGACATGCCTAAAAAGTATGTTGTAGGTTGATATTTTTAGGCCAAAAATTTGCGTTATTATATTAATCTGAATTTATGTAAGGCCACCCTTAAAAAAATCTTTGTTTGATGTTGCCTACCCATGCCTTGAGTGAGGGGTTGGGTAGGTAGGTAGGGATTTTATTATTTTTTGGGCCACCAACATTTGTTTCCTGTTTTAGACAAGAAAACAATGTAAGAGCAGGACAAAATCTTTGAAAAAACATTGTAAGTCATCAAATTGTTCAGGTACTGCATAGGGAGGTTGCCTTTTTCATGTTTTTAGATGGGTAGGTAGGCAACATCAAACAATTTAGATTTTATTTTTGGCCTAAATCCTGCACTCCATTTTATATTCCTTATAGGGTAGATCACCATCAGACTATGGTCCATCAAAAGCATATCGTGGACAGTTTTATGCCTATGTGGATGGAAGTAATGGAAAGGACCATCAGCCTGCTAAAATGACATATAAATTTCCATCAACCATGGGTATGTTTTTATTTTTGGGTAAAGATTACATGAAATATCTAAATCTTCCAAGGATCATCACTACTTTTGATATACACAAAATATAGTGCATTGATCTTATCATCCTATCCATGAACATTTCCAGAAGTTTATCGATGAAATATATGATCAGATATTCATGTTACAAAATGATGGTATACTTTTCACGAATATTACATAATTTGTGCAAGGTGTAGGAATCTAATATTTGTTCTAAAATATCAACATGATCAATGATGTCATTGTTAAAGTAATTTTTAAAATTGGAGTTATCTTCCTTTGTCTATGATTATAGTTGAATACACTACAATCAATGCTTTATACAATGCAATGTTTAATTTTGCCTCCCACTGATAAATTAAAGCAATCTTTACCTCTCAGTGCTTTCAAGCACTTTGATTTTAGGAATAGATGGTTTGATGTTTTTGGTGATAAATGTCCAATCACAAATATTACATCCATATGAGGATGAGAAAATGTTCATGTGATACGAAATTCAATCTGGAATTAGAAATGAAAAAAATAACACTATAAACTGTGGATTCATTTATTTTAGTGGATATCAATTTAAGTATATTAAGGAAAATTTGTATTTTTTTAGATATTTGATTGCATGGTTTTGCTTAAGTCTGTATACAAGCCTAAGTAAAATTTGTACTTCGTTGAAGATTTAAATTTGTGATTGACCTTCATTCACCTACAAAATTAAAAACTGGTATCTAACGAATAATAATGAATCCCCAGTAGCCTAAATGGACTTTTTCTTTTCATTTGTCCACAACCTACTTTTCCCTACACTTAACTTTAGATTTTGAAAAATTTGAAAACAAAATGCTTTTTCAAATGGTATTGGAAATACAAGCCTTGTGAGCGAAAAAAGAAATGAGATATCTACTGCATAATGTTGTCACTCTCTGACCTACCCGTTGGACAGATGTTAATATGGATGGAGAAAAAATTGTAGTTTCATAGATATTTGATTTTGTGGTTTTACCAAAATCTACATATCAACCTATATAAAATTTGTACTTAGTTGAAATTTAAGAAAAGACTTGACCAAAAGACAATAAAAAAAAACCCACAAAACATGACAAGAAAACTTGAAATGTAGCATCACTAGTTTAGTATTGCCTAAGCTTTGCCTATTACATTTTCAGATTATTGCCTAAGCTTTTCATATTACAATTTCAGATTATTGCCTAAGCTTTGCCTATTACAATTTCAGATTATTGCCTTAGCTTTGCCTATTACAATTTCAGATTATTGCCTAAGCTTTACCTATTACAATTTCAGAGTATTGCCTAAGCTTTGCCTATTACTATTTCAGATTATTGCCTAAGCTTTGCCTATTACTTGTCTGGAAGTGATATGGGCAACTTGAGAATACAAAGGGAGGATGCAGACTATATATATAAACTTTGGACGGCACAAGGAAATCAGGGAGATAGTTGGAAAAAAGCCAAAGTTGACATCAAAGCTGAGACAGGCGATCTTGTAAGTTCAGGATAGTTTTCATAAATCGGCTATAATTCTAGAACTATATTTTGTGAACTGATCCTATTATGGCAAACTGAGTCCCTGCTTAATGAGAGCATAAGAGGAAACATAATTTAATATTCTCTTTTTCCTGTACTGATGCTTAAGCTATATTTTGCTTTGATAAAATAGGATTATAAACTAGATTTGATACATATCTGATGCATACAACTGTGTTCTTAATCATTGAAAAAATAGTTCCAATTTCAGATATTAAATATGGTATAATCCATAACCTTATTAGGAATCATAATAATAAATGTAGTGAATATCTGATTTCTTTGCCAGATTTATTGCTCCATGTTGAAGGTTTCACTGTGACTTAGAGATCAAGAACAGCAGTTCCTTTTCTTTTGTGTTTTTTTACTATGCATGTACTGATTTTGCATTATTGATGGATGCCCCATATCCTTTCTTTTCTATTAAACATATACATTTTCTAAATTGTCAGTATTTATCTTTTCATTCTTGTCTTTGTTTACAGATTCTAATTGTTGCCAAAACAGGATCAGATTATACTAGTGATATAGCAGTAGATGACATAATTTTGAAGGATGGTGGCTGTTAATGTTTGTAAGTATTATATACTGTGTACTCCGTATTATTCATGGGAGACCAATGTTGTTGGATATAAACATCAGTAAAGGTGAACCATAAATTTTAATGTTTATTAAAGCACCAATTTTCTATGTTTGCAGATTTTTGCAAAACCAACATATCAAATATCTGCAAAGTTAGTTTTTCCCTAATCTGTGAAAATAAATGATTTCACAATAGATTTGAATAATTCAACACAAAAGTAACTGGTAAAACAACCCATAGATTTCAGTTTTGTATGACAGGATAGCCAGAGATATTTTGTGTACTTTCATGTTTGTCATCACCTTGTGTTGCACAAAAACTGTATCCAAACATTTATTAAATTAGCAAACGAAAGTCACATGTAAGTTTCCTGGAAGGAAGTATTAGAATGATTCATATGCTGCTGAAAAAATCAAATTTGTGATGTTGTTTTTCTTTGTAGTAGCTCCCTACTACCGTTAACTGCTTTGTTTTTTTTAGTGTTTTTATTCTAAAACAAAATAATTAAAAATTTGCCACTAAATCTTATGTACATAAACATATATCAATGTGTGCTTTTGTATAAAAAGAATAGTATAAATATTAATGTATGCTTCCTAAATGGCATTGTTTTTTCTTGCAGGGAAGACTGGAGAGCTCATTGTTGGTGAACCTTATATTGCAACTTTTGTTAATAAATGCATAATTCAATGAACTGAACATACCTTCAATTGTTTCACTGAATTATTGCCAATTTGGAAGGACTCTTCATATTGGAATACTGTTTGAACAACCAGAGTTCAGCTTTCATAGTGCTACATGTGTCTTGTTTTTACTAAACATTTGAATGTCTCAATATTTTTATTGTTATAGTTAATATCTGTTTTGGCAAAATGTTCTGTCCAAAAATTAGAATTATTTATGTTTTGCTGTCAATATTCCTTATTTTTATTCTGTGACTGATTTTAATATCTTCACAGTAGGGGTACAATAGGGGTACAGAGCTGGTTGAAAAAATATTTTCGTTTGCAAACATTCCTCAAAATGGTAAGATCAAAACCAAAGGTGTTGAAAGTAAAAGAAAATTAAGCTTTGAGAATCGAGAACCAAATGAGCATAGAGCAGTCAACAACGACATGAATTGAGACTTGAAATAATTCTAATGACAACTTTACTGCACCAGATGTGCACTTTTACAGTGATTTTTAGGGCTAATATTTGAAAACTAAGAACACAATGCATGTTATAGTATAACATTTGTTTTGGGCTGTAAATAAAATGGAATGAATGATTGATTTCAAAATTACTTTTTTTTCAATGTTTATTCATTTTGAAAGTTACTGTAGTGGGGTGTGAACTGCTTAAGTAACTGGTTTTTATACGCCCGTTTACCGGATGAATAATTAGGAAATGACTGTATTGTATTTTAAGCTCTGACGGCATCAATTGGTGATTTAATAGTTGCAAATTAAGTTTACTGGCGACGATTTAGCGGAGACAGTAAACGGGTATTTGCGACCATCAAATCACCAATTGATGCCGTCGGAGCTTAAAATACAATATTGTTATCTCCATTCTAATGAAACTGACAGAAAACAACGTTAAAATATGTATTTAAAATCTGTCATATATTGTCTGCGCTAGCGCGTACGTTCCATAGCATCAATTGTCAATTGATGCCATGAAAATTAGTAACGTTATCTAATGAAAATGAACATTACAAACGTTGTTGCATTAGAATGGTATATATACACCTCTGTCCGTCCGTCTGTCCATCCGTCATCAACATGTCAGACATTAACTCAAAAATGCTTTGAGAAGTTATTGAAATTTATTCTTTGAAAATGCGATGGGCGTATCATGCGCTCATGGCGCAGCTGTTCATTTGTTGATGCTATTGTTGCTTAATATAAAGATTTCTGTGTGTTGGTGTGCAAGTCTTTTTTCTTTGGGTAATGTTTTTTTTCTGTTTAGCTTCAAACATTGTTTCAATTCTCCTTGGACTTTTGAAACAAGAAATGGAATAAATTACCATACATGTCATTTCAAGTCTAATCGACTCCAGTCTCCATATTTTGTAGTCTTCAATACTAAACCTTATTTGTCAATCCGCATGGTCCACACACCTTTTTAACATCTTACCTGATGGGTTTTGTTCTCGTGTCTGTTCATGGGTATTAATACCTTCATAAAGATAAACGTTTAGTACAATGATTTTGTCATAGTTTGGTTAAGTTGGACATGATTGTGTAAAGTGTTTTTAGCTCACCTGGCCTGAAGGGCCAAGTGACCTTTTTTCATCACTTGCCACTTGTCTTCCGTCGTCACCGTCCTTAACTTTTTACATTTTGAACTTATTCTAGAGAACCACTGAATTTATTGAAACCAAACATGGCATGAATGTTCTTTATGAGGTGCTGACCAACCGTTAGTACTTTGAAGCTGTCCGCCAGCAGGGGACTTTGTTTAGCATAGGACTCTATGGACAATACAACTGTCTTCTTTCAGAGAACCACTGAATGGAGAGAAACCAAACATGACATTAATGTTCCTTTTAAGGTGCTGACCAACTGTTGTTACTTTGAAGCCGATCTATCATCCAAGATTGCCACCAGAGGGGGACTAAATTTAACATAGGACCCTTAGTATATATGAGAAATGCATAGTAAATGTCTTCATTTAGAAAACCACTAAGAGGAATGAAATTAAAAAAATGGCATGAATGTCCCTTATGAGATGCTGACCAAGTGTTGTAATTTTGTAGGTGATCAATCACCCAAGATTGGTCCTAGCGGGGACTTAGTTTAACATAGGACCCTATGGGAAATACATACAAATGGTTTTTTTCAGAGAAACATTGAATGGAATGAAACCAAACATGGCACAAATGTTCATAAAGAGGTGCTGGCCGAGTGTTGTTACTTTGAAGCCAATCAATCATACAAGATGGCTTCCAGCGGGGAACTTAGTTTAACAAATGATTCTATGGGTAATACAAATGTTTTCTAGAAAACCGTAAACAGATTGAAACCAAACATGGTATGAATGTTTCTTTTAAGGTGCTGACCAGGTGCTGTTACTTTGAAGCTGATTTGTCATCCAAGATGGCTGTCGGCACAGGGATTAAGTTTAACATGGGACACTATGTTTTCTTCTACAGAACTATTAATAAATAGAATGAAACCAAACATTGCATGAATGTTTCTAATGAGGTGCTGACCAAGTTTAATTACTTTGTAGCCAAACCATCATAAAAAATGGCCACCAGCAGGAGACTTTGTTTAACATAACATACAGATGCTTCTTCCAGAGGAGAACTGGATGGAATGAAACCAAACATGGCATAAATGTCCCTTATGAGGTACTGATTAAGACTTCAATACATAATCTTTATAGATTTAGATACTGTAAACTGCAAAAATATCTAGAAAAGAAGATTTACGCATCAGTCAACCTGAGTTGTCAATTGACATCTTGTTGGACTCAATTTCTGTAAACTTTACAAAATTCTTCCGCTTTTGATTTAATTACGGTGCCAATATTAAACCAAATTTAGCCTCAATCATTATTAGGGTATCTAAGCGACTCAGGCTCTTTAGAGTCTATAGTTTAATTGACAATGACAGAATATAAAGATTCAGATTTTTTGCTAAAGGAACACCTAAACATTATTTCAACCTTGAAGTTATCTTTTTTTATAGCTAATATATAAGTATATTACAAATTTATATCATATATTATATAAAGTGAATAATTAGATAGAATTTAAAAGTTTCTCACCATTTTCTGTCTGTTGCATAGCATATTTTGTTTTGATATGGAACTGCCGCCAATTAACATGAAAAAAAGCTACATTTGCGCACAAATTAGGATTACTGAAAAGTCGGTGTCATGGTTTAGTTCATGTTGAACATCGTCCAGTCCTGTTTGATAGAAGAGTAACGATTCAAATTGGACACTTTTGAAATATTGTTAAAAAAATATTTTCGACGCTGCTTTTTGGGCGTTTCACTTATTCTATCTTATTTTTAAGCAATATATTGTCATTATTTTTTAATGTTGTTTTGTTCCTATATGAGATTTCAAACCTGGTATCTATGATGAGTTTATTTACAACCACTGGGTCGATGCCACTGCTGGTGGAGTATTTATTTCCCGAGGGTATCACCAGCCTAGTAGTCAGCACTTCTGTGTTGACAAGAATTATCATTGATGTGGTCATAATTATAAATTAACCAGTTACAAAACTTTGAATTGTTGAAATACTAAGGCTTTTTTTACATCAGGAATAGATTACCTTAGCTGTATTTGGCAAAACATTCAAGAATTTAGGTCCTCAATGCTCTTCAACTTCATTCTTTATTTTGCCTTTAACATTTTTTATTCGAGCGTCACTGATGAGTCTTTTTAGACGAAACGTGCGTCTGGCTCAAATATACGATTTTAATCCTTGTATCTATGATGAGTTTATTTAGTAATTTTCACTTATTGTTTACTCGTGAAATTGCATTGCTTGAGAAAATAAAGTAAATTGGAGATATTATCATTTAACTTATCAATATTAAGCTGACACAAATATGTATCAACTTGGATTTAGACACTTAGCTGAACCATGTCAATCACTTAACCAAACCATAATATTTTCAATTTAATGCTTATCCTGCCTTTATTTCTTAAAAAAAATGACAACTTCAATATAGATCTTATTATTTATAATATAGATTCAAACATCTTAATGTTTTTTTTTGGTTTTTTTTTTTTGCTCATTTGTAAAGAACCGTGGCAATCCTTCTATGAAGATACCTAACAAAACCATGACCAACTTAACTAAATTATGACAATCACAGTATTAAGTATTTCTCAATATGAAGAAGTTGCTATCTTTGTAGTTATTTTATGCGTGAAATCAACAATTTTTCTGCATAAACTAAATGGCATATTGTCCGTTTGACTTCTATAAATTTGCAGAAAAAAAAAAAATCAATAAGACAATAATATCTTTTTTTA